TTAAGTGTTCATTAATGTGCATTGTCCCTGCTAAATAAACGATTAAATAAGTACCAGCATGATATATATGTCCCTGATGGGTAAATAAAAACATCTTTCAAAGACAGCTTTCCCGTATAATAACATGTTGATGTTCGTTCAGTAACAGCGATTCCATTTGTCAGCATTTACCAAAACTTTGACCAGAAAAAAGTCCAAGAAGTTGAAATCTCTTCGGTCATAATGTGCAGCAAAAATAATTCCCACTAAGCACAATGTGAAGTGTCTTGAATATAGCCTGAATAGGCGAGTCAGCACTGTGTGGTTATATTGAGGCTTGACATTTTTTTTACAGCCTCCTAAGTCCTAATAAGGGATTTCAGCAACATCGATCCCGGGTGGGCCAAACCGGCCAAAGTATCCTACGTGATCCCCAGATTCTCTCTGTAGAATACAATCAAAACAGCGTTGGATTTGAAGTAGGCAGCATCTAGCTCCAATAAAATGTTAAACGCCAGACATGCATTTTGCTTTGTTTGATCTTATTCGGTTTTATTTTATCTAAGAATAGGGAGGGCTAAAGCCGAGTACGATTGTAAAGAGTTACTGCAAAGGGTTGTTCATCTTGAATCATTTCTCAAGTGCTGACGGGACCCTGTTGGATGAAAACCATGTGGGGGATGCACAGATCAGACTTACCTGACAGACATGAACATCTACTTCGAGGAAGACGACGTGTGGATGCTTGTTACTCAACATGTTGAAAGCTGGAGCTATTCTGACACAGGGCCGACACCTGAGGAGGCAGAGGACAGAGTCAGTGATTTGATCGAGAAAGATTTGCTAAAGCGACGAGTCAGTTAATCAACAATCAATAAAGCTGTGAAAAAAAAAAGTTCGCTGCTTCGAGCTTTTTCTCTCAAGTTATACATTATAATTAATGAATTATAAAGGTCTCTGCGTTGTTGGGTTGATTCACTGGTTATTAAGTCACACACATAAGAATTGAATAACAAATTAGACCTTTATTTAGGTACAGTCTAAGATACTTAGGTACACACAGAATTGAGTGATTACAATAAAAAGAACTGGTTATAACCTGACTAATTCTGGATTTTGAAGGCATGGGACTATAATATGTTGTCTGATGGAAACTTTATACATCACAACAGAACATAAACAAAAAAGCAATGACCTTATCAGCTGACCAACACAATATACATCTGCAAATAGCATAGGTGTTTCATGTTTTGTTTTTAAAAGTTCCCAAGAAAGTGTGTTGTTCGGTGGCATTTCAATGTTACATTTTCATTCATAGTAAATGAAAACAGGACCTACATATTCATACATACAGCAGCTGAAGACCCATAAGGTTTTGCTACTGACACTTGATTATACCTACAGAAACTATTTTGATAAGCATCCATCCCCTTTTGTTTCAGAGCTTAGAAATACATCTTGCGATTGCTCTGTTGTTCTCAAATATTCCACACGGTATTTACAGTATACACAGAACCAACTTCACAATTTCTAATATGTAAACAGAGAAATTTGAACTTATCTGTTTACAGTTTCTATTAACTTTTAAATTAGACGTAATGTCACAGTTTTTTCTTAACATCAAGATAAGACTTTATTTATCCCAAAGGAAATGTTTATGCCTGAGTTACAAAGTTACAATACACACAGCAGCACAATAATAGAAGTACCAATTAATAATAAAACTGTACACTATATGTGCAGTAAAAAGAGCAAATTAGACAACAAACTACATGAAAATGAGATGGTCAATTAATGAATTAAAAAACTGTAAACATTGCTCAACCCTTCACCATCCAAGTTACTGTAATACTGCTATGTCATTGTAAGCAATAGAGCTAGTTAGCATGCTAACAATAGCATGCTAACCTTGCTTTTCTTGTAATGAAACCAACTTCCACCTATCAGATAACGTAGCTATCCAGGGAGTGTCAGCTCCATAAAACACTTAAACGACGAAGCTATGAATGTTTTCCAGTCTTAAGTTGAAAGGAGAGACTATATGCTAAGCCTAGCTAGCCGCTGGGCCTCGGTCTGGTGTGTTTAGCTTACCCAGCCATTGTGAACTTCACCACGGCGAGCCTGGAGCCGGCGGCCGCTAGCTCCGGCTGGAAGTCAGGGTCGCTACCGATCACTTTGACACCCACCATTGTAGAGTTTGCAGCTGTGTTGTTAGTGGGTGCGGGTGATGTTCAAAGCAGAAAACTTGGTTATTAATAAAAAGTGTTTTGTTTTTAGCTTTCTGTCAGTAAATTAGCTAGCTAGCTGTTTTCGGAGCCACACGACAGTGAGCTGTTTCAGGATGTGGACTCCTGATTGGCCAATACGCCACCGGAAAGGTGGGGTTCTTCTTCTTCTTCTTCTATTATTTTAATGGCGGTTGGAAAACAGCTTTTAGGTGTATTTACCGCCACCTGCTGGAATGGATTGTGGATCAGCACGGTATAACCCTAAATCCATATTCCTGTCCTTTTTTAAATTTAGCCCAATATCACAAATTGTACTTTTGTTTTACGGGGCTTTATAGTTTATACAGAACATGAATACGCAGGAAATTCCCGGTGATGTAAGCTTTTTAAATATGTATTGACAGAGAAGAGTCACTGTGTTTCTCCTCGCACTGTGTACAACTGGACAAAAAGCTTCCAAGTAAAAGGGGGACTGGTCAGAGGAAGTGAAATGAAATATTATAGCAACTCAAATATATTGTTAAAGACACGTGCACTTGTTGAAACTTTCAGAGCAATTGAAAGAACATTTGTTCATCATGTATCCACAGAATACAAGGATACCGAGCAAAACAACATTGTGTGAAACACGCACAGACACAGAAATGAATAAATAATGTACAAATACATTACAGATATATAATGTGTGTTCGGTTTCATTCTCAACTTTATTTTTTGTATTCATACATTCATTTATTTATTTTTTCTTGTGTTTTTATTCCTGTATTTATGTCCACATTTATTTATTCTTGTATTTTTCTATTCCTGTATTTTAAACCCTAACCCTATTTTACTCATGGCATGTTCTGTCCTCCATACATGCGTGCTCGTTGTGTATAAAGGTACAAATTCACTCCAAATCACATCACAGCAAGACCTATAGTTGGGTGTTTATCGTCTTAAAAACACATTGGTGGTCCAGAGGTCTTTGAATTGGTTTTTCATGCAGGTGCTCGAGGTTCAACACCCAGGGGAGGGACATCTGTTGTCTTCTGCTATGCTGATGTTACATCTGGAAAATTGTCCCCACCACTTGTTCTAACAAAGTGACTCCCATGGTTGTCACAATAGGATTCTCCTTTCCCTGATATGTGAACTTCTGCATTACATAAACACACTTTTTGTGACCTTCCTCAAACCCCATACTGTGAAATCCTGTATCATTATTTTACATTTCCGCTTCATCTTCCGAAACCGCAAAACTCTTTAATTCTGTAATTTGTCAAATGTTGTATTTTTGTTTTTGTAGTTTTGTATTATATGTGTATTTGTTGACTTTTTATTTCATAAACGTTTTTACAACCGTTTCAAAATATTTGCTCATATTTTTCCAATTGTTTTCTCTTACTCTGTTTATCTATGCACCCAGGGTTGGGAGGGTTACTTTAAAAATGTGTTTTATAACAATATGTACCTGTTAAAATGTAATCAGTAACCTTATCTTAGTATTAAATCATTAAATGAACCTGATTACCTCAATATCAATTATTAAAGATTCAATACAAAGATATATCAATAAGATGTTTTTCACTTAAGTTTTACAGAACAATGTGACCCTAGAAAAGAAGAAACCAATATATTTTGTTTAAAAGTTATTCCTATTCTCAGTGTGTGTTCCCATGTGGATCTTAACATATGGATTTCCATTTTTAAATGAATTGCAATCCTACCTGGTTAAAAAAAACAAGTAATCTGGTACGTCTTTTTTATGTAACTAATAAGGGAATACAGATACCACACTTTTTTATTCTGATTATGTAATCTAATACTCCCCTGTATGATATATATATATATATATATATATATATATATATATATATATATATATATATATATATATATACAGTGGCGTTTTTATATGTACAAAAGTGGTGGGGCACAAAAAACTTAGATGTCTATATATAAGCTTCTGCAGTGACGTGCAGTGAGGTTCATGGCTGGCGAGGCACTGGCACTGACTCTTCAGGTTTACAAATATAATATTTTGACCTAAATCAAAATATAATATTATTTTAAAAAGCTTTTTTTGTCTGATGCTTCGATTAATTTTAAACAGACAGTTCAACAAAAGGATACCCAAAAAATGTAATTTTATCATTTAAATATTGAATTGTTCTCTCTTAGTAAGATCCCATTTTCAATAGAATTGCGGTCTTACCTTGACTTGAAGATGAAGTCCATTTGCCTATCCTTTTGGGGCTTTAATAAAGTGGGCTCCATGTACCTCGATTCTGTTTTCTGTGAGATTATTTACCCTCAGTGATGCAGGTGTCACAATATTTCTCAAATCCTCCGGAGTTCTCTTGATAACTTGATCAATTCTACATCAGCTCTTCGAACATCAGGACAGGTTCCAGATTTAGAAACCTCCTCCTGTATTCTTGAAGATTTTCACAAACATGAATTTGCATTGGGATATTGGTGCATAATTATAATTCATTGCATTTATTTTAGCGCTTTTACAAGTGCTCAAGTCGCTTTACATTACATATCATACATGTAAATACATCATGTAATTAAAATCTAAACTATCTCGCAGCAAAATGTCCCACATTGTCCCACACAAACTTACTCTTTGTCCTACAGGTGGCATGTTGGCACCTTCTCGCCCAACCAGCAAGTTAAGTGACCACCTGGTTAAATTAAGGGTTCAATTACACGCCTTTACCTGCGCATCACGTGACAAGAACACCTCCGAGTCCGCGCGCCCACTTCCGCAGCTGCAGCCTCCCTGAATGCCACGCGCTTGTTTTTTAACCCGATATTTATTGTTCTTTACACTCGGCTTGTCGGACCGGTCCGGCAGGTTTTGTGTGGGGCAGAGCAGGTGAGGCACCCGGGAAAGAAGGGCGGGGAGCAGCCGCTGGAGCTCTCTACAAGCAGGAAGGAGAGGGAAAAATGGTGCGGTGACAAAACGCCTCGGATACCGACTGAGAACAGGATACAACTTCATATACTGCCAGGGACACGGGGTAAGTTACAGTTAAACATATTAATGTAAAAGCTTGTATTTTGCTTTGAAGTTTTGGGTTTAATGGTGTAAAAAAACACCGAGGGAGGATGCGTGTTTCACCTGGGCGGCTCAACCCCCCTTTCTTATCTGAACTAATTTTGTTCCTATAATAATGTTCACTTTATAGCTACTGTTGAGGGCTTAATGCTAATTTCAGTCTCTGTAGTGACACATCTCCTTCATTACAATCAAACAGCCTATCAACCTACTTCATGGCCTAGTTGAATAAAACCGAGCTTTATAGCGTTTACGTTTTACCATTACTAATTGAGGTACTTGTACTTTACTTACTGAGTATTTCCATTTTGTGCTAGGCTACTTTGTGCGTCTTTAACCCCACTACAGGTAAATAGTGTACTTTTACTCAACTCCATTTATTTAGTACCTTTTAGTTACTTTACAGATTAGGATTAATGATTTCGAAATATAATCAACACTATCAATTATCATCAAAACATATATTATATATTATTCAGAAGTATATTTTGATCCCAATACTTTTGTACTTTAACGTAAGTAAGATTTTGAATTGCTTGTAACCGAGTATTCCTACTGTTTCGTTCTATTTTGAACTACAAGATCGAAATACTTATTCTACCTCTGGCTAAATGCTAATTTCAGTCTCCTTCTTGCCTTGAACATATGTTTAAAAAAATTCCATAGATCATTGAGACAAAGTATTCGAAACACATCTCCTCCATTACAACCTACGTCATGACCTACAGTTCATTCAGCAGCCTTTAATTGATAGCCTTTACATCGTACCATTATTGTACGTAGGGCTGCTCGATTAGGGCAAAAATCATAATCTCGATTATTTGGGTCAATAATTGATATCACGATTATTAAAAACGATTATCCATTTACTTTGAAAACATTGAACAGTATGTTTTTAACAGTTGATTACCCTGAACTTTAAGTATAATTAAACTGAAAAACCAATACAAAATAAATAAAATAATAATAATAAATAAAGAAATTAAATAAAAATAATCGTTTTATTTCGATTATGTTTTCAAAATCGTTGCAAGCCAAAATCGTAATTGCGATTAAAATACGATTAATTGAGCAGCCCTAGTTGTACCCGATAGCATTAGTTTTTATTCTTGTAGCCTGTAAGTCTACCTACCTTACATTCCTAACAAAGTATAGGCTACATGCATCGTGGGAATTTGTTCAATCCCTCATTTAAAAAATGTGTGACCTGATGCAAGTAAAATGTCATTGTATTTCGGTTCAGCTTCTTGACTTTGACCAGTTACTTCCTGATTACATTTTTTTTTTTTATGTGCCGATATGGACACATTTTACTTAGTTATTTTAGTCCTATGCCTGCTTAACAACATTACACATGTGACAGCTTTTTTTAAATGGAAAGACACCTTATTGAAAAAGTATGAAAACCTATTAAATTGTTGGCACTACTATTGAAAATGTGTCACTTTTTTAGGCCTACTATCCAGCCCCACCGTTCCATGGTTCCTGCTCCTGGCTCATTTGTTTGACTAAGAAAATATATTCTTTTATGAATCTGTGTTTTGCCTATTTGCATTTACTTTACATTACATCACATGATACTTGTTAGACGCTTTTACCTTAAGCCTCCCATGGTTTTGAGAGGGAGGAAAACATTGTTTCTTCTAGATGGGAAGAAAAACAACACTTTTGATGCATTATCTAACAAAAGGTTGGCATATTCCCACATATCATTGGTCTTATGAATAATATCAAGATCTTCGTACACATCTATAAGCATTTTTTCAAAATCTCCGTTGATAATAAAAGGCCTGAATATTTCTGTAAATAATTAGATCTGTGGCAAACGCATGTTTATGTTACTTCCATGTTTCATTAAGCAGGATAATCATCACATAACAACACTACTTTTATAGCGATTGCCAGGAGTAAAAATGTAATGTTAGACTAAGAACAAACTACATCACGGTCGCATGGCTGCGCATCAACACCGCTAAGCTAAGTGCGGCTAAGTTTCGGCATGATCACTTTAAAAGTCTCATTCAGTCACTTGTTAGCAACCGCTCTTTTTTTTAATACGTTAAAAGACAATCATGGTATTTACTGACATATTTTGTGTCTTAAAACAACTTGTGAAGATCTCATAAGCTTGTAATAACCACATAACCTTATTTCAGGCCTCTAATAAGATCTCAAACCATTGACTTCGAGGCGAGGGAACCCTTAAAGCGTAAACAACTAATTTTAGCATTCATTCCTGCGTCACTCCATTAGTATCGATGTAGTAATGCTAATGTTAGAGTTTGTTTTAGACATGATTCAACATTAACGACAGCAGCTGTTTTCTGTTAAACAACACACTTTGTACATTAACAACTTGATTTGAGAAAGATACATATTAAAAAGAGATATTTTAGGAGCAGCCGGTACATTACTTTATCATATCATCAACTGAAGGCAATAAGACTTCAAGGTGCAGGTGGTGAAACACACCCTTGTAGTGTTAGTTGGAGAAGGTGTTGTGTCTGAACACAGTGGCCGCTGCTGGGCTGATGTCTCCACCTGGCCCAAATAGTTTTTCCATAAACAAGAAAGAAAGCGCTCCTTCTGCAGCCACAGCAAGTCCTTTGATTATGGAAATGTTTGACTCCTTATGCAAATGGTCAACCTTGAAACCTGGGACTGAAATAAGAAACATTTGAATTGTGACTTGAGAGGCAAATGGATTGATGGTTGATCTGAGGTAAAGGCGTCTTACTTCTTCCCCTTGTCTTACATACACAAAGATCAAGTACCTGATCTGTTTGGGTCTTCAGTTTTTAATGTGACACATGCTTATTTGTTGTCCTAATTGGGTTGGTAAAAACTGGTGTTCTTTCTATTATATTTAGTCATTAAGTGTCTCAGTTTCAGAGTAGGATAACATGCAAAGGTCCAGCTGTCACGCAGCTACATGCTATGCTAATTGGTTTCACTCCAGGGAATGCTGGATTTAGGAGGTTTGTTTAAATTAATCGGCAAACTATTGAATCTCTGGCTAGATTATGGGCTTTTGTATGGTCCCATTAGAAATGAGGTTTTACTATGCTATTTTAGAGATATTTATTTGTGAGTAGAGCATGATATCTGGTTCTCGAAACATCGATCCAAAGCGCCACTAGGTGTAATAAAACAGCAACAAAAAGGCCCGCAGGCACTTTAATACAACTACTTCTGTCAGAAACGTTTGTCGCCTGAGGCTCTGCAGAGATTTGTCATCCCTCGTTTGTACTGTAAGTACAGAACACTGTATGTAAAACGGGAGTCAAATGCCATTTGGCGACGAAGGGCATGACGTCGGTGTGCCTTTTAGTCGTTTGAGGAGCACGGCATGAATTCACTTTCTACATTCTCACGATCTCTGCTGGCTTTATACTGACACTAAAAAGTTGTTAATCTGGAAAAACATCGTCATCATTCAGAGAGGAGAAGACCCTGTAACTTGGGTAGTTAGTTCCTTGTTCAGGGACTGCCTGTCTGTTCAAGGATTCATTGTCTGGACTCCAGCTGTGAGTAAACTACTGAAGACTCAATTATACTCTGCATATATACCTGCATTAAGCTCCACTTACAGCCAACACAAGCATACACACACACACACACACACACACACACACACACACACACACACACACACACATACACACATTGTGAAGATGCTTTGACTTGAAGACTCAATAGTCATTGTGGATAAAAAAATTAGTCAAGCAAGGTTCTCAATTACTTTAAAGGTCATTTCTAAGAGATTAATTGATTAGGCTAGGCAAGGCAAGTTTATTTATATAGCACCTTTCAACACAAGGCAATTCAAAGTGATTACAACAAAAATGACTTGAAAATGCATGCCAGTTACATCCCTTAGATCACATGTGTCAAACTCAAGGCCCGGGGGCCAAATCCGACCCGTGGTAGATTTAATTTCGGCCCGCAGGATAATTTCTAATTACTATTAGATCTGGCCCGCCGGTATATTGCACGCACACCTTCACTCAATCCTGAGGATCTCCTCAGCTCAGAGCCTGACCCCAAACATTGATGAACTTGCACCCAAGATGAGATGCCAAGTATCTGGCTTGAACTAGCATCACAGAGCAGCACACTGAGTTTACATGGATGTTTCCTTCTGCACTTTCTTTCTTGTGACAACAGGGCATGTTTGGTTTGTTCTTTGAGGGAAATAGTTTTGTTGAAGCTGTTGTTGGCCTGTGGAAAAATGTAATCATAAGAAATGACTCTGGAAAAGCTGCAGATAGAGCCATAAGAAATGAATGCAACTGATTATTTAATGTTTAATGTTGTTTTTATACTCAATCATTTAAGCTTTGTTAGTTCCAGGTTTAATATGTGCAATAAGTTCATTTCAATAAGTTTTGCAATAAACATTGAACCAGTCCGGCCCTCCACTAGTACCCATTTTTTAATTTTTGGCCCACTGTGTATTTGAGTTTGAAACCCCTGCCTTAGATGTTCTCTGCTAGGTCATTAATATACTTTTTAATGATGCAACTCCAGTGCGAATGAGTCTAAGGATTTGCTTAGAAGACAGTTTAATCATTTTATAATGTGTAATACAACCTATAATCTATTGCAGTTTTAGGTATTCTGCCTAAATTCAAAGCAACATTAACTTGGCCAATGTGTGAGTTTAATATTATGAGACAGTTTTTTACTTTTTACCTACGCACATGGACCGCCGCTCTGCAAACACAGAGGTGCAATGAGATCGAGCACAGCCTCACACTGGTGCTTTTACACTTGTTTGCAGTTGCAATGTTCAAGGACTATCCATAAAGTGAACTTCTCAGAGAGACCAAGAAGGATGTTTATATTTTCCTGCTGTATGTGCAGAGTCACCGTATTAAGGGGCAGCCGAGAACTCCTTTTTGTTTCCCACACGTTACAGCTCCAAAGGATTCCCCCCAGGTGCTGCAGAAACCCGACTCCGCATTAATTAAGCTGATAGCATGAGCGCTCAGACACACACACACACACACACACACACACACACACACACACACACACACACACACACACACACAAAATTACTCAACATTCCCAGACCTCCTTGCCATCAGTAACTCATCCTGATACGCAAAATACCTTTTCCTTAACTTACCAGCTCTGGCTAGCATACTCGATCAATTCACATTCATTCATGTTTTTTAGGAGATACTTAAAAGTCTCTCGCAGCTTCAATAACATTTTAATGAAGTCAAAAATCAAGTGATAAGTTTATGGTGGATGTAGCATTTAGCTGTTTATATGCTATGCTCTTATTGTTTGTCATTTTCCCATCCCTTTTTTTGTAACGTTTAATCTAATCTTTACCAAATTTGGTACAGGGAATATTTGGAGAGAACAGTTTTATCTATTATTATATATGATGCGCACATTTACTACTTAGCTTTTAGTAGTAACATTGAAAGAGGCAAAACTATCCTGTTAAATGTGATGGCACATACAGGTATCTATAGCACACAGACACGATGCATTTAATGAGTCATTGTACCACTGATCCCCTTTAAATAAAAACAACAAACGAGTATATTTGATTCTCATACTACATTCTGCCTTCATAGGAAAAGATGAAGTTCAATTTGTGAACAGAAATGTAATAATATTTGAAGGGTTCAGAGAATGATCCCCTGATCCACGCTGCGTTTCAGCTCTTTGATCACGAGCACAAAAGCAAAGTCTCTCCTTACACTTTGTTGTGTTATTTTACGCTTCCTCCTCACCTCTGCGGTCAGATCGAGAGTCCCTCCACCTCCCTCCTCTCAGGTTTCACTGTCGTCTCTCAGGTATGCTTTCCTTTGTTGCACGCTGTTTAATCCCCCCCCCCCCCCCCCCCCCTCTTAGCGATGCCCTGGCACAAAACCAAGACACCAAAACCTGTTTTCCGAGACGGCGATCCTCCCAAACCGGCTGCTTCTGAACCTCTGATTGTTTGTTTTTGAGTTGAGCAGAACAGATGATTTTTAATTTTATTTCATTGAGACTGTTTCTAAGTCTCCTGAGATATCCTTCTACTCAGTTTCATTTGGTGCCTTCTCAATGTTTGTCCATAGCAGTGGCTCTACATAGAAACCTTGGGGTGGAAACCTTAGGCGGAGTTTGACATTTGCGCTTGGGGGGGGGGGGGGGCAAATCTTTTTTACTGACGTCAGTATGCAGTCCCAACTATTGCGTGGGGTGCTACGGATACAGTAGCAATAAAGCCAGCGCTCACAGCACTGAGTATGACTTTTCCACATACGAACACAACTCGTCCCGTCATGCACGCCTCATGCCCGCCGTACACACACACACTCGTATGGAAGGGGCGGTCTCTCCCCCCCAACAACAGTGCATTACATAACTGTACAACTTATCATAACTGTGCACATCTTATACTTACTTGATAACTACTATATCCCTTGGTTACTTGAACACGCTACAATATTATTAACCAGTGTCCTACCTTATTAAAATATTGATATACGAAATATTTGTATTTGAACAGTTTTCAACGTAGTAATTGCTGTAACATATTTCAGCCCCCGCAAAATCCGCCTATGGTGGAAACAACAAAACACATTTTACATTCAATGATTTCAAACTGGTCGCCATGACATCAAAGCTATATGAAAGCAGCACCATTTGGGAAAGTGCTGTGTTTCTATGTAAGATGTCTTTTTTTAATAAAAGTTTGAATACACAGAGGGGAAAACGCACAACTAACCATGACTACGTTTAATACAATAAACTTGTTTTGGATATGACGCATTCAATATATTTGACTTTCACTCCATTAATACACTTCCCATAGAAACGAATAACTGGGAAACCTGGCTGATAGCCTTTCAGCATGTCTTTGTTTGTTGTTCCCACACATAGATCAGATTTCACATGATTCCCCCCCCCTGGTCATACTGGTCAGTCCTAATGTCCCTTTGCTATTTCAGAGATGCCACACCAACCGATACCTAAATGAGATCTATAGAATCTTACCAATCTGTGTTATAAAACCTCAATGATTTTTAGTTTAGATTGAACGCGTCATTTATAGACATGACACAGTGCCCTATTTAAAGCATTCCTCGAGACAACATTTTTACCCTTTAAGCCAGGGGCAGTGCAATTATATAAGACTGGTTATTCCCTCATCATGGAGCGCTTTATTTAGAGTAGCATGAGTGCCATCCGTAATGACGTGCGTCTGAAAGCGTGTGTTGTTGATGAATGCAGCCGTGACGCAGGGCTGTATTTAAGGTTGTGTATTCCTTTGGTGTGGCACGTTGCTTGACTGGATCTTAAAGGGGTAAAAAGACATCTATCTACAGATGGAAACTTCTTATGGGTTCTTAACGCATCTTGATTCAAACTGATTTTAGACTCGTGTCAAGACAACTAGTGGTTCTCTTGAAGTTGGACAATTGTGCACTTTCAATGTCTCAACTACTGTCAAGACTAAAAACTAAAGTTGTATAAATGACATGTTGAAAGTTGGACTCTGATCTTATTTACTTTCCCTCCTCCTTCTTGTAGTTTCTGATAAATTCTTTGTTCCCCCCCCCCCCCGTCTTCAGCCAGTATTCATGTGCAGACTTGTGTGATCAACCCAAGCTCTTTCAGTATAAACACAGTTTCGTTAAATAAGGTTAAGGTACTGTTTCAGTGTGTATCCACGGGGCTGACAGTATTTGTCCTGCTCACAGTTGATATGAAATTCTATGAAGAATACAGTGCTTGGTTAGAGCAGAGTTGGCTGATTCTGTAGTGAAATGGTGTGTTTAATCTTGGCTACCCATCAAATGTCTGAATCTTGGGGTTATTGCCCATTGACAGCGTCTTATGAGAACTGACCTAATTGAGTTTTATCTATTGTGAAATGGTCTAGTTTCGAAATTTGGCATCACATGCTTGGTCAGATTGGGTGTCTTGTCTTTAGATACTCATTCTTTCTACAGCTGCTTTGTGTGAAGACACAATTGAAACTGATATTTGGGTTACCATCATACTGACATCTCTACCTCACCAGGAACAACCAAACCATGTAATATGTAGATAGAAGCTGTCTTGTGCTTTATTTACTTTTCACCTGTTTCAGAGTTCCTGGAAAAACATGTTTGGCTTTGCTCAGTAGCTGGCACTAATTGTGAGTTCCACATACTACTTGGTGAGTTTGCCCACATTTCTGTTCGGTCAAACAAATGTGTTGTTGCATTAAAACAAGGATAACTGCAGAAATAGGAGCACAACACACTGCCAAACAATCAAACCTATATCATGAAATAGATTATAGAAAAGGTCTAACAATATGCTCAATTGGCTTCCTTCACTCGTGTGCTTCTCATGCTCCTGTATCTAAATACTAAACCAATAATCTGAAAATCTTTCATTATAAAATATATATTCTATGCCAAAGAAGCAAAAAAATGTGCATTAATGAAAAAGAAAATGGACAGATCAGGAGGGGTAAACATATTTTCTCTGGACTATAATATACCCCCTCTAAACGATTAGTAGTCAGAGTCCTGCCATTGCCTTTGTTTGTTCACTGTTAAGGTTCTTAAGTCCTATTACCAAAAACTAAATGCACCTAATCAGCTGTGCTAATGGACTCCTCCGCATCATTAAACATTAAGCCGAGGGCAAACAGCAACCCAGACTTGGCACCTGCTAACCAGGAGCTTTAAGGCGGATGCAGGGTTTTCCAATGCAGAGCGGTTTTGTTAGGGTGGTGTCAGGATGGAGAGTAGAGCTGTCACAATACCAGAAATATAGTATTCAATTACAATTCCCGGTAAAATTAAGCTAATGTCAATACTAATTTTATACCACAGTAAAACATAACAATACATCCTGTGAACTTTAACATTCCTTTCTTTTGTTACGTTTGAAAAAGAGTTTTTTGTTTGAATGTTTAACGGATCAAATGTTTGTTTTTTCCCGCCTCAATACGCTTTGTTAGTGAACAGATAAAGCACGTTGATACACTGACTTGTTGACAAAGCAGCATTAGTAGGGAATACAGGCTTTACTGAATGCTCAACACCATCTAAATGAAACCACAAACTCCTGATGACCTCAGTATTTATTTTTCAGATGAACTAGATTGTATGACGTGTTTTTAAAGGTTAAATCGGCAGGGCCAAAAAAAGCCAGCTGTCCTAGAATCACTCGTGATCGCAACCAAATTTCTCCCTGATTGTCATCCCAAGAAAATGTTGTCTTTGTGGACTTGACAAGTTTAACAATTGAACAAGAATAGGAGTCTTCTACCATGCCGGTGTTTCTCTGTAGTTGTAACCTCAGGCACAATGTGGGTAAATGACTGATCAGCTATCTACATCAGCTAAGAAGCTCATGGTTTGCCCCATGGTCACCAACTTAGTCGAGTGTATCCGGATTTTAACCTCATGCTGATTTGCACTATATTGTTGAGGCTGTCCCTCTTCAGTCAATCAAAAGACAATCAAAATCCTGGGTGGGTTTTGATTGTCTTTACCAAATTTTATAGCAAGGCAATTTTACTCTTGAGGGACAGTTGAGAGATGTCCAGAGTCATTTGGATGCGTCCTCTGCTGGTCATAAATGTCTGCATCAGATGTTGTGCCCTTTGATCCAATGAGATATTTCAGTCTGGGCCAACCAACAGAACAACATAACCAACCTGAGCCAAAATGCTAAGATAGCCGAAGTGGGTGTGATCGTTAATTTTGAAAAGTTGAAAAACGTGTTGTGATGCAATCCTTTCTTTCTCTCGTTTGTCACGGGAATGCTTTAGAACTTTTAATGAAGCCTGTCATTATTAATCAACTGACACTTTTTTTTCTTTCTCAGAGACATCTGAGGTGCAAAGATGAGTCGGCGGTGGCCAGAGTCCCAGGTCCCACCTGACGATGAGGTCATGCCGTACAGTGACGATGAGACGGATGACGAGTTGGAAGTCAGCTCCGAAGAGGAACCGGAAGATGCTCCTCCAGGAGTCCCTCCACCCCAAGTGGAAGCTAAACCTAGCGGTGAGTCACTAAAGGCAGACTTAGGATGACATTATGAATTACATTTGTTTGGGGAAATCAATTTTGTCAGCCATCTTTTTTTAGAGACCTATAATATGATTCATATCAGTAATTATTTTTAGTGGATCCAGATTGCTTTAGCCTAGCTTAGCATACAAGTTGGAGGCAGGTGCATAGCTGTCACTCTCATTTCAAACTTGGCAACTAACTTTATTTTGAACATGTATTAGAACAAGTTCCTTGACAGTGAGTCTCACACAACATGGTACATATACAATATCATACTGTTATATACAACCAAAAAATGTAATCAAAAAGTACAATATATAATAGTAATTATCAACAAAGCACAAGAAATATAAAAAATATAGAGTCCAATTAGAGGTTTACAATATATTCACTTTGCCAAATACCTTACAACAGGTGACCATTTCTCTAAATACACTTCCATTTTGAGTTGTAGTTTCGCTGTTACATTTTCCATACAATTTGCAACCTTAAGTCTTTGTGTCTATTGGTCCAAAGTAGGGGGGTGAGGTTTAAGCCAGGTTTATAGTGATAATTGTATGGGCTATTAATACCAGAGTTCTAAGCATATACATATTTTCCAATTCCCCTTGAAGGTACATTCCCTAAAATCAACCTTTGCAACTAACTTTTTTGATTTGTGTTATTTTCCAGAGATGGGATGGAAGGTGAAAGCCAACGACCGACCTTATCACCACTTGCCGGAGTTTGAGAAAAAAGTCTTCTTGTGTATCAAGAAGAGCAGATACTCTGTAAGTGCCGTCAGTTTACATACCACATACCCATTTATCCTCTCCCTGTTGGTCCTGCTGGAAACTAATGCTGAGTGTATGGAGTCAACAATGGCTGCCACACCCTCGACAAAGAGCAGGGCCAGTTTGTGTTTGCATGTTTTTAGGAAGAAGTGAACAAACAAACTCTAGATGGACATCAGGATGTGTTAACTGACCCAACTTTGTACACGAGGGATTTGAGCCAGGTTTAGTGCAATATTTAGTATAATTCCTGAAGACAATGACTGTACAACATTTGTCCCAGGTTAATGTTTGAACAAGGAAGCCTGCTGTGTTGATTTGATAGTTTTACCGACTATGCTTCCTCCTCATGTCATGTGTCTGATGAAGTCAGGAATGACTCAGCAGAAACAGAGTTCCCTAAGCTGTTGAAAGGTCATGCTTGAAATATGTCAAGAGCTTAACATGCTTGGGCAGTTCTATTATTCTGTATGGTACTTGATGTAGATGAAGGGTAAGATGAAGTGAAGCATGTGATTGAAAGACAGCCGGGCGATGTGCTTTTATCTATGAGAGCCAGGGCTTTCATATCCACAATTGACATGGCTTTAATAATACTTAACTATTTTGATCAGTTAATCGACTGTACATAGAAGAAAACGAGTATAAATGTGATGTTGCTCTCGCTGCTTGGTCAAATGCCAAGACCAGCTGCCGGGACTTGTTCTTTTAGCAGCCAGTGAAAACAAAAAACGTGTTGTGTTGTCGGCTTTTGTCGAAGCTGATACTCGATCGTCCGGCTCAGCAGACCTGTACCTCACTTATAGATACATCAGACGCAGCAAAACTAGGTGGACGAGAGCGAGAACATATTTGTAACAACTGCAACAGTAGTCATCTCAACACCTAAGAGTCCTTGATCTTACACAAAGCTGGTCAAGAGAGATGTGTGTTTTTGACTCTGCATATTTGACCTGCTGCAGAATCAGGCTGTAACTGGTCAGGTTTCATGAAATCTAATAACTGACATCCCAACAAACCAGGACACTGACTGCTGTGTTTTGGAATCCCCCTTTGTCATTGATCTTTTAGATATACTTTCAAATGGGCCCGTTTTGTCCTTGTTTAGGCAAGGCACCTAGTTAGAAGGAAGGGAGATGTGAGCATTGAGAGGTATATATTTAAGACAAAAGTGTGTTTGCAATTGTATGGCCACATTTTGTCTTTGACCCTTTCCTTTTCCAACATGCTAATCCCCCCGTGACAATGCCTAGTCCTTAATGAAACAGTTTTGATGTGGAAGAACCTGTCTGATACAGAGCACTCCTTTTGGGATCAACGACTAACCTTCAGACCTTACAGTTGAGCTTATTCTGTGAAATCAAACCTCCAGGAACACGGGACAATACATTGTTATGACATTGTTTTTAACCTATCTTCGTGTGTACAATCGATAACACTTTTGGCAGTTTAACAGCGCATGACGAAACCCTATCCCACTTTGCTCTCATTATTATTTTGTTTTCTTCTCTGCAGGGAAATGCCATCAAGACGTACAAATACAACGTCCTCACCTTCCTCCCTCTGAACCTGTACGAGCAGTTCAAGAGAGTTGCCAACCTCTACTTCCTGGCGCTGCTCATCTTACAGGTATGTCTAAAAGGAAAAAATAGATTAAACCTTGGTCTTCTGTTGTTACACAAAACAAGGAACATTAAACACCAACAAATGTTTGTTTGTCTCTTTAGATTATTCCAGATATCACGACTCTGCCCTGGTACACCACACTGATTCCTCTGGTGGTGGTGCTGTCAATCACCGCCATCAAAGACCTGGTGGACGATCTGGTGAGGCTTCTGCTTTGGAAAGACAGATAGACAATTAGAAATGTCTTCTTCTGTCAAATAACTTTGAAAGAATACTGGTTTGCAGTCAATAACTTGAAAACATTTTTATTTTATAGCAGTCAGTTTCGATATGTAGCTGTAGTACACAAGTATGATCCTTTTTGAAGCCAATCAATGCTAGAACTTTTGAGACAGATATTCTTTGTAATGGTTATTGCAAACCAAGAGGATTACAAATTATCATATGTTTGTAAGAATATTCTAAAATCTGCTTTGCCCTGACCTCTTAATTTTTTATTCCCTCAGGCGCGCCACAGGATGGACAAGGAGATCAACAACAGGAAGTCTGAAGTCCTGCTGGACGGCCGGTCAGAACAAAGCTTTTAATTTAACTCGACTTAATTCATAAAACAAGATGTCCACCATCTTTTAAAAAACTGACACATGTTTTGAGAAATTCTAGTTTATTTCCATTGAGTCCTTACTGACAGTAAAATTAAATAATCAACAATAAACCAAGAAATATTATTAGCATCATATCGCTAGCCTCATAGCATAATTGCCTAAGTCATAGCTTACTATTACAGTATAAATAAAAAGTGTTTGATGAAGAATTTTTTTTTTTTTTCTTTTTCTGAAAACCTTAAAATATGACTGAGGCAATAATGACGTGAGGCTAACGATATACAGCATTACTTTAAATATAACTACTTTAACAGCTGGTGCATATCAAAGCACATTTTGTCTTGTATCTGAGGTTTGTTTCTGTTAGTGGTTGCTGCCCATCTCTCTTGTCTTTTTTTATATCATAAAAAAGGACTACAACGAATATAAAAACTGAGATCTATTTCTGCTTCAGGTTTCAAGAGGTAAAGTGGAGTAACATGCAGGTTGGAGATGTGGTTCGCATGAAGAAGAACGACTTTATTCCGGTAAGATGATTTAGTCTTTTTACCTGGACCGTTTGAGAGTGACTTGGCAATAAGAACATAAACAATACGCCTTCAAAAAATGCCTGAAAGATCATTTGAATGAAGTTGTTGCCACAGTGGAATATGAATTTTGACTTGAAGCAGTGCAGAGCAACACAAGAGGCAGATTTCAGGGTTCGCAATTCTTGATTAATTCCCTTTTTTAACGTGTTTATTTGTCTCTTCAGGCGGACATCTTGCTGTTATCCAGCTCCAACCCAAACAGTCTGTGCTATGTAGAAACTGCTGAGCTCGACGGGTAAGACTCCGCCTACTAAGTTGACCAAATATAATTCATGTTTTTAGATTAGATACACTTTCTTCATCCCAAATTGGGAAAGGTATTTTACATAAGGAATAAAATACAGATTATACACATTATATAAAAAATAATGAAATGAATAAATTAGAATACTCTATAATAGACCAATCTTCCTATACTACTACTTTGCCCATTAGATATTTAAATGTTATAAGGATATTTATTTCTACTGCATATTCAAATGGAGTCATATATTGTGTACATTGTGACTTCTGGAGCAGCGCTGTTTGCGTGACCTGAAGTTTTCTCAAGGGTTTATTCAACAAATTACTCGGATAAAAGAAAAGCAAATATGTAAAAAGGTTCTGCCAAGAGCTAAACAACCTCAGCCAATATCCTGCGATTAAGTGAGAAGAAACGCCTTTTAGTCAAACACAGGCCCGCACAATGGAACCATGCTAAAGTAAATGTCTACTTACCTGAAACTAACACTTGTACGTTACATGCCAAACAGAACAGTGATACATCACCATATAAATTATGATTTTAATCACTTTCATAAATAAGGTTTATTAAACCTCATTCAGTTTAAGGACTTGCCTGCAAACTAACATTACACGGTATATTTAGAGGACTACTTACCATAACATTAAAGGTGGGGTAGGTAATTCACTTCAGATACACTTTTTGTTATATTCCATGAAATGCTCTTAACATCCCGATAGCAATGAATAAATTAAATGCTTTGACAATAAATACATAAAAAAATGTCATCTGTGGAAGCCGTGGCGCTGTAAAAAGCACGACCAATCATCTGAGCCGGCCCGGCTAAAATAACTGGATGGCCTACCTGCCTGTCAGCCTTCCATCTGTGCACAAACTTATCTCGTGCCCTCATTGGTCATGTGCGCGTTCGTGTGTGTTGGAGGAGGGGCTCTGTAAGGAAGTCGGCTGCGTACTTTCAAATTCTAGCGCACTCGAGCTGGAGCACTTTCTCCATTCTTACCTACCCTACCTTTAAATGAAAAATGTCTTGAAATATTTAAACTAAAAATAAATACTATTATTTGGTTAGGTGCATAACTAATAATAACTCCATTTATATGAAATGATTGTAAAATTGTATTTATGTTCATTCAAAGATATAAAACAGATTATTAGGAATGTATTTTAAGATTTTCACAGTAACGACAACTAGTTAAAAATATATGTTTAAATAATATATTAATTTAAATTGACAGAGCAAAAATTAAGGTGTATATTCTAAATAAAAGAGACATTAAATAAATCTAAACATAGGAGTTTAGGTTAGAGAATTGTGTCATGGCTTCCTTCCTTGTCTTTCCATCAAGCCACTAGACGCCTTAAACAGACATTTCTAACTCGTGTTCTTTCCTTTAAATTACTCACAGTTTGAAGAGTTGCTTGGCCTCCGATGGTTTAGATCAGGGGTTTCAAACTCAAATACACAGTGGGCCAAAATTAAAAAATGGGTACTAGTCGAGGGCCGGACTGGTTCAATGTTTATTGCAAAACTTATTGAAATGAACTTATTGCACATATTAAAACTGGAACTAACAAAGCTTAAATGATTGCCTATAAAAACAACATTAAACATTAAATAATGAGTTGCATTCATTTCTTATGGCTCTATCTGCAGCTTTTCCAAAGTCATTTCTTATGAGTACATTTTTCCACAGGCCAACACCAGCTTCAAGAAAACAATTTCCCTCAAAGAACAAACCAAACATGCCCTGTTGTCTCAAGAAAGAAAGTGCAGAAGGAAACATCCATGTAAACTCAGTGTGCTGCTCTGTGATGCTAGTTCAAGCCAGATACTTGGCATCTCATCTTGGGTGCAAGTTCATCAATGTTTGGGGTCAGGCTCTGAGCTGAGGAGATCCTCAGGATTGAGTGAAGGTGTGCGTGCAATATACCGGCAGGCCAGAATAGTAATTAGAAATTATCCTGCGGGCCGAAATTAAATCCACCAAGGGCCTGATTTGGCCCCCGGGCCTTGAGTTTGACACATGTGGTTTAGATGATTTTGCGATGCGTTTGCTCAAAATAAAATAGCAAACTTTTGCACCTGCAACAAAGAAAATAGGCCTTTACAATATTCAAAAGAAATAAGCAAAACTCAAATAAAATAATAAACAACTTAGGTATTCTTTCTTTCTTAATAATGCTTATATAACCTCATAACTTAAAGGGTACTTGTACGATTTGTACGTGTAGTACGGTTAAAAACTGTTCCTCGACGGCGTCTCTCAAACAGGTTGCCCATCACTGTGGCTTTAGCGCAGGCGCCGTGGGAATTGTAGTCCTTTTTTATAGTGCGTTGACTACAGACGTCACAATTAAGTGGCCTTTCTTATAAATCAAAAATACTGGCTCTAACAACATTCATTGATTTCTTCTGAGGATCCTTAAGGATTTACGTAGTGCTTTCTGCTTTACAGAATGAATTTTAATTATTTTTATTAATCAACTTTTGTTATGAAGATGGATAAAGTTGTCCTTAGGAAACTTGCAGATACATTTCACTTAAACCTTTGAATCCTAATTAAAGTTTTATGAACTTTAATGTTGAGTGTAATTCATATCCCCCCCCCCGCAGAGAGACCAACCTGAAGTTTAAGCTGGGACGTCGAGAGACAGACGAGCGGCTGCAGAGCGAGCGGCAGCTGGCCGACTTCAATGGTGAGTTCATAACTACAAGCCCAGTTTATTTGCATAACGCTTAATCGGTTTAATAACTCAAAACAACGAGTCGCATGCAAAATAATTGTAAAATGTATATTTGAAAAACAAAATTCTTGGTTTATTCAAAGGAGTAAGTATCATAGTAATTGAAAAGCTTTTTGAAACACACCAATTTCCATCAAGTGTCAATTAATAAGTAATAATCATGAGAATTTTATTCATGCAATGTGTATATGTGATGCAAGATTGAAAAACAAATCATTAATTGGTAACCTACTATACTTCTACAATGTTGCATGTCTTAAGGAATTTTGTTTTGTTATATTCGGTTCTTTTAAAATAAAAATGTCGTTTCAAGTATGTGTTATAAGGGTATAACAGATGATATTTACAGGTAGTTTGCCATACATTCTTTGTTAACTTTTACATATACACTGTTTCACAATTTGTTTTTCCCCACTGTGTTATTCATCAAATAGAAACATTAAATAGGATTAAGCCACAGCCGCTGAAGGGAAGTTAAGGTGACAATCATTGTAATTGTACCTCACAGAACTTGTAATAATGCAAAAATAAATGACAAATCATGGCAGTGGTAGTCCAGCAATCCCAGGTAAAATAACTGGTTTTGTCTGTGGAGTCTGGTGGCTTTTCACCATCTACTGTAGAACATCCTCATACCCCATCTTTACATCCCAACTATCCTTTATGGTTAACGCTGATGCCATTTATCCAGAGTAAATATCTGAGTTACTAAACTGATGCAGCCCGGAGATGAAGTCTTCTGATTTGAATAGTTTAGAGTTGAATTAAAGCCACCCTCTCGTGTCTTTTTGTGTCTCCTTCAGCTCTGATCGAGTGCGAGGAACCGAACAACCGCCTGGATAAGTTCATCGGGACGATGACGTGGGAGAGGGAGCGGTTACCTCTGGACCTCGACAACATGCTGCTCCGAGGCTGCACCATCCGAAACACAGAGGAGTGTCACGGCCTCGTCATCTTCGCAGGTGTGACTCCAAACATGTGAAAAGAGAATTTTGTTACTGACAGAGCTGACGGCACCTTTTGTTTTATAACTACACAGCTTTGTCATATTTTTGAATGATAACTGACGAATAGCAATGGCTAGTATTCACCATTTCCGTACTTGTCGTTGTAGGAGCCGACACCAAAATCATGAGGAACAGCGGGAAGACTAGATTCAAAAGGACCAAGATTGACGAGCTGATGAACTACATGGTTTACTCGGTGAGTTTAAAAACAGAATCAAAATACTTTATTACTCTATTTTGCTTTTTGGGGGTTTTCCCTTTCCTCAAGGTTCAAGGTTCTTTATTGTCAATCTGACATAGCTACAGAGTAATTATGTAGTTGAAAATCTTATGTCACAGGCTTCTCCAACAATGCAACATAACATAATAAGAGCAAGAGCAATACAAAAAGAAAAATAGTTATAAAATAAAGTGATGATGTGGAATAGTGCAGTACGAGTCTATATACAAGTTATTGGAATGATAGATATTAGATACATATTACTGAGTAGCAGAAGAATGTTTTGAAGTTGTTTCAACAGTTCAGTCCTGAACTGTTATATAGGTTTATGCATGTGAATGGTCTGCAAAGGCAAACATTCAAAAGATCCCTCCAGAGGGCGTTTCTCTCCCACACACTCCCCCCTGCCTGAAACATGTCTCAGTAGAGGGAAAAAATACAAACCTGAAAATGAGCAAAATAGGGCCCCTTAATCCACGGGGGAAATTGGGTTTCATTTTAGAATGACATATTTATATTAATATGATGACTTTTTTTCATCAGTCGCCCGGTGTGTAACGGCTTGTTGTCTCCTGTAGATCTTCGCGCTGCTGATCCTGGTGGCGGCGGGGCTGGCCATCGGTCACGCCTTCTGGTACGCTGAGATCGGCTCCAAGGCCTGGTATCTGTTCGACGGTAAAAACCAGGACGCCAACCACCGAGGCTTCCTCAGCTTCTGGGGCTACATCATCGTCCTCAACACCATGGTGCCCATCTCACTATACGTCAGGTCAGTTCAAACACACACATACATTTCGGTCTTGGTACAATCGGCTTTTGCATAGATAATGTCAACGCTCTACACTCAATGGGAATATACCACTAGTTCTATAGACTTATCATTTGACTGCTATAAGATCTACTGTAGGTGGAATGGCATTGTCACGACTCTCTGAGAAATGTGGTTTAATGTTTTACTTCTTACATCCAATAGATGACCTCATTCTAGAAAGTGTATTTCTTGTCTCGGATTTCAAAATATCTGCTACCACTTTAACTTTCAAAGCTACATATGCTGGCTCCAGGCTGACTTGTATATCATTTTCTAAAGCAAATGAAATAAAAAAGACACAATTCAGTAGACTTTAAACGTACACCAACTGCAACTGTCGCCACACTAGCTAGCTTGTTAACCAAGTTCATAAGTTGGCAACCGAGAGGTATTAGTTTCTTCCTCTCTACCTGATGTTAGAACAACTGTGTCAAAATCCAACTTCTAAGTGTTCTCTCTTGTCCTCTCCTGTTTTGTGTTCAGTGTGGAGGTGATTCGCCTCGGCCAGAGTAAGTTCATCAACTGGGACCTGCAGATGTACTACGCGGAGAAAGACACGCCTGCTAAGGTACATATCTGCTGCTATCGAATGATTTATATTTAAGGCTTGACTTTGAATGTACCCAATCTTTATTAATAGCTATGTGTTACTGTAGAGACGTGCTCTAAACTTCTCTGTTTGCTGCAGATCACCCGAAGGCTATTGCACCATATCCCCAAGATTTTTGATTTGTATTATTACTATTATACACTGACAACAAAACGGCTGTAAAATTAGAAGGTTTGGGCGGTACTTGATTTTGGAACGACTGCGTCCGGGTCAAACTCTTTGTTATTGTTCAGCTCATCAATACACAAAAATACATTATGTTACCAACAACTAAAATAGGCAATACATGATCAGAATCCAATTTAATGATGATTAGCAGGAGTTCATTTTGGCAGTTTAAATACAACACGTATACAGTGATTGACACATATTGCTAAAAGACTCCTCAACTCAATGTGGGTGCACTGGAGTCTTCCAGATGCCATTCGGGGAAGGCAGAGGAACATGATTTTTGTCACAGATTAACGGTTTCAAGCACAATATATACAAGTGCTTGTCATCACGTTCAATATTGATGTAACATCCAAGATTCTGAACTGCATTCGCTGCTAAAAAGCATGAGATGTAGTAGAAATGTTCAGTAAAGCTTGTAAGAGGACTTTGATTTGAAGTTATTTGGTCAAACTTAACTTTTTTGTTTCCTGTGTGCAGGCTCGAACCACCACCCTGAACGAGCAGCTGGGTCAGATCAGCTACATCTTCTCCGACAAAACAGGAACTCTCACACAGAACATCATGGCGTTCAAGAAGTGCACCATCGCCGGACGCAGCTACGGTACTGACCTGCTTCATTTCACACACACAACAATAAAGATCACATTTTAGTGATTTTGTCACCCGGTTGTGTATTCAAACTCTCACTACAGCCTTTCTTGAAGGAATACACCCCCTTATTACTGAAATAACATACATGCATTTCCTTCTCAACAACACTGTGATATCAGGAAGACAAATAATTAGCCTCCATTTATTGATTTAGGCAACTGCTGCAAGAAGATGTTGAATATAGATAAGAGCAGAGCAAACAGTAGGTTGAGAAACAGCTAATGCAAATCTCTTTCTGCTCTCTGAATCAGAAATCCTTTATCTGCCCATAGTGGGTACATTTACTTTGTTACAGCATGGGGACAGTGCAGATAAAAAGGCAGGTAATATAAGTAGAATGACATATTATATTATTGCTTGGTGCGCATCCTTAAAATGAAATAAACCGGACCTTTTGAGGGGTACTTGACTTTATGAACGGGGGGGGGGGGGGGGTGCGCTCATGAACTGTTCGCCAGAGCCTCGCAGCAGGGTTACTGTGCGGAGCGCATAAAGCAGACCCTTCACGCGGCCCGCCCAGGTAAAGTCTATGTGTGGGAAACCCTGCTATCTTACCAGTTCTTATGCAACTCGCAAATCTAGATAGAGAGAGAGAGAGGCAGGAGCTCTCTCTAGAGAGAGAGAGCGCTAGATCTGGAAGAGACTAGAGATCTTCTCTCTCGCTCTCATAGCTCTTCGATCTAGATCTAACTCATCTCTCCTCTATCTCTCTATCTCTCTCTCTCCTCTCTCTCTCTCTCTATCTCTCTCTCTCTCTCTCTCTCTCTCTCTCTCTCTCTCTCTCTCTCTCTCTCTCTCTCTCTCTCCTCTCTCTCTCTTCCTCTCTCTCTCTCCCCCCAGAGTTATGTGCAGCCCTGTCTATAGTTATAGGCAGTGGTTATTGCAGAGGCCACAAATTAACATAAACGCTGTATCCTGTACTTTAGTCGTTTTTTACAGTCATCATTTCCTGCTCTTTGCATTGCATATCTGCAGTTTTATTTAATATGTTTTGCTTTCTGTTCTACAGGTGACCCGACCACAGCTGAGGGAGTGGTGCTGGACCGTGGAAGAGTAAGATATTAAGCTTACAATATATTATAATAATAATATTCTTTACTTATATAGCACCTTTCAAAAGATACAACATGCTTTCACATAAAACAGAACATAAGTAAAGATACACAAGAAAGCAAGTTCAATTAACAGCAAACATAAAAACACAGATTACATTAGATGGAAAATAATAAAACAAGAATAAATAGATTAAAAATAAATGAAACGACAAATAAAATCACAATAAAGTCAGTGACTTAAAAGAGCTGACATTTTGTGGCCCTGATCTCCTACGTTTACAGTATACAAAAACAGTTGTTTACAGTTAAACACAACTCATTCATGTGACAAAATGTTATTTTAAGATGCAGTATGTGTTTCTTTTGTGGACAAAATAGACAGACGGATTATATAAACTAAAAGGAATGACACCAATGTCAACAGTACCTATTTTAACAACTTAACTGCTATACTAAAGCTATTATTCACAACAAAATGGAATCTCCAGATCAGTTTAACTACCCACGTCACCACAACAATGTCTGAGTATTTCTGCTGTAGTTTTCCCAACATCTTCCTGTTTTCCCGCCAGCCGGTGGACTGGAGCTGGAACCGGGAGGCGGACAGAAAGTTTGAGTTCATGGATAACTCCCTGGTGGCCTGTGTCCGATCCGGGAAAGATAAAGATGCGTCTGAGTTCTTCAAACTTCTCTCCCTTTGCCACACCGTCATGGTGGAGCACAAAGAAGGTACGCCGAAAATCCTAGTCTGTAACTACGATGGCGGCAACACCTGTCAATCAACCACACCACACCCTTAACAGGAAGTCATATAGTGCCGTTAAAACATATAGTGCCATTAAAATCTAAGTAAAGCGCAGGCATTGCATTTGACCTGACACCCTCTTCATGTCTGGGTTTGTGTCTTTACCTCTATATTATTATATTATATATTTACTCCAATCACAAACCACTAGACCCAGGAACAGTGTTAACCCACTGTTTTATTCCTTAGTTCTAAAAAGTGTCTTCACCTCCATTTGTTTATAGCAGATTTATCTGTTACAATCCACATATTTATATATTTTTACAACAAGCAGTATTTGATTCCACTGTACAGTATTTCATTTGATTATATTTTACTTAGTCCTTATTCCTGCAACTCTACTTGCACCATTGTGTACTATTTTGTCTTAAAGAGGCCCTATGATGCTTTTTGGGCTTTTCCCCTTTACTGTAGTGTGTTATAGGTTTTAAGGGTTCAAGGTTCTTTATTGTCAATCTGACATAGCTACAGAGTAATTATGCAGTTGAAAATCTTATGTCACAGGCTTCTCCAACAATGCAACATAATAACATAACATAATAACAATAAGAGCATGAGCAATACAAAAATAATAATAGTTATAAAAATGAAATAAAGTTATGATGTGGAATAGTGCAGTATGAGTCTATATACAAGTTATTGGAATGATATATATATATATTAGGTATTAGATACATACTACTGAGTAGCAGATGAATGTTTGAAGTTGTTTCAACAGTTCCATTTTTTAACAGTCTCACTGCCCGCGGGAAGAAACTGTCTCCGAATCTTCTTGTCCTTGCCAGGATGCTGCGGTAACGTCTGCCAGACGGCAACAGAAAGAACAGTTTGTGGCTGGGGTGATGGGGGTCTTTGATAATCCGTAGTGATTTCTTCCTGAGCCGCTGGGAGTAAAGGTCCTCCATGGATGGCAGCTCCGTCCTGGTGATGTGCTGTGCAGTTTTCACCACCCTCTGTAAAGCCTTACGATCGAGGTCGGTGCAGCTGCCAGTCAGGATACTCTCTATCGTGCACCTGTAGAAGTTGCAGAGTATCCTGGAATCCATTTTGAACCTCCTCAACCTGCGGAGGAAGAAGAGCCGCTGTCGAGCTTTCTTGGTGATGGTGGTGGTGTGAAGAGACCATGTCAGGTCCTCAGTGATGTGGACCCCAAGGAACCTGAAGCTTTTGACTCTCTCCACCGTAGTCCCATTGATGGCGATGGGGGCGTGTCCCTCTCCCTGCTGCTTCCTGTAATCCACAATCAGCTCCTTTGTTTTGCTGATGTTGAGATGGAGGTTGTTCTCCTGGCACCAAGATGTCAGGTTTTCGACCTCCTCTCTGTACGCCGTCTCGTCATCGTCTGTGATCTGGCCGATGACGGTCGTGTCATCAGCAAACTTCACGATGGTGTTGGAGCTGTGTGTGGCCACGCAGTCGTGGGTGAACAGGGAGTAGAGGAGAGGGCTGAGCACGCAGCCTTGAGGGGCACCGGTGTTGAGAATCAGGGTGGAGGATGTGATATTTCCCACCCGCACTGCCTGGGGTCTGCCCGTCAGGAAGTTCAGGATCCAGTCACAAAGGGCGCTGTTGAGCCTGAGGTCTCTGAGCTTGATGGCCAGCTTGGAGGGCACAATGGTGTTGAATGCTGAACTGTAGTCAATGAACAGCATTCTCACATATGTGTTCCTGTTCTTCGGGTCCAGGTGTGAGAGGGCAGTGTGGAGGGTGAGGGCTATGGCGTCGTCTGTGGACCTGTTTGCTCTGTAGGCAAACTGCAGGGGGTCCAGAGATTCAGGGAGGGAGGAGGTGATGAATGATTTGACTAACCGCTCAAAGCACTTCATTATGATGGAGGTGAGTGCTACTGGGCGGTAGTCGTTGAGGCAGGTGATGATTGTCTTTTTGGGGACAGGAATGATGGTGGAGTGTTTAAGGCGCCGTTTACACGAGGAGAAAACTGCTTGTATCTGCATAGTTTCGCGTGCGTATAGCCCTATTATTTACACGAGGCCGATAGAAACTGACCCCACAAACGATAACGGGTCCCAAGGTGGATAGATTTGCAAACGAAACGCTCTGCTCCTGCTCATTGCTGTAGCAACTATCAAAAATAGCTGTGTTAATTAAACGCACAAGGGGTTCTTGAATGAAATAATATTATAAAAGGCAAACCAGAATAGTTAACGCCCAATATACTCCTTAAACAAAATAAACAGTCAGATTTCATGCATTGATCCATTATATTGACAAAGGAGGGTCTCACCCGGTGTTTGTAGAGAATATCTCTCTTTTCTGAGCGGGTCCTCTCCACGGAGACGTCGGTCGATGCAATATCCACAGATTCGGTTTCTTTCAGTTAACTTCCCCGTAGCATTTATCCATATGCTGAGGAAATGACTATATCCCGCTGAATACCAGCAATCACCACACTACTAGCTACTGCTAGTGCTACTGCTACTGCTACTGACCATGCTACAGATATTAGTGCAAAAATATACAGCTCCTCTACCACAACCATCAGCAACAAGTGGACATGGAGAATTACATGAACTACATGTTGCTAAATACACGGCGGGGCATGAACAGAAGGGTAGCCATGGCAACATTGCGGCGGGGGCTGCTGGGGCTGCTCTTCTTCGCTGCTTTTGGTGTATTTTGGCGGAAGTTACAGCGCCACTTACAGTCCCGGCATATGTACTACAGCGTTTCCAGCGGCCTCGTTTGAACAGACACGTTAAATGAAACAAATGCATGTGAACGGAAGACTTTTTTGAATACGCATACTGTGCATAAACGCAAACGGTCCCGTGTGAGCGGGGCCTAAGACATGTGGGGACTACAGACTGCAGCAGGGACCTGTTGAAGATGTCTGTGAACACCTCTGCCAGCTGAACTGCACACACCCTGAGAACACGGCCAGGGATGCCATCAGGTCCAGGAGCCTTGTGTGGGTTAACCCTTTTAAAGGATTTACACACATCTGCCCTATTTAAAACAAAAGGGCAGTGTAGCTCCTGGTCCCTCTGTACCTCCACAGCCTGGCTGCTCTCAAAGCGTGCAAAAAAACTGTTTAGCTCATCTGGGAGAGATGCGCACGCAGACACTCCCGCAGCACCCCCCGCTGCTCCTTTGTAGTCAGTCATTGTCCTTAGTCCCGCCCACATATTCCTAGTGTTACAGCCTTTGAAGTCAGATTCCACCTTGTCTTTGTACTGTCTCTTTGCATTTTGAATTGCTCTCCGGAGATCATACCTAGACTTCCTGTACTCCTCCAAATCTCCCGCTGTGTGCGCGAGAGTGCGCGCTTTCAGTTTGCCGCGCACCTCACCGTTTACCCAGGGCTTTTGATTTGGGAATGTCCGTACAGAAACCTTCGGTACCACGTCATCGATGCATTTCCCAATGTAGCAGATGACAGTGTCCGTGTGTGTGTTGATGTTATTGTCCTCAAACACACTCCAATCCGTAGATGCAAAGCAATCCTGCAGTGCTGAATCTGACTCCTCGCTCCATCGTTGTACTGTCCTTGTTATCGGTCTGTCCCTTTTAAGTTTCTGCTTGTACGCAGGCAACAACAGTAGTGAGATATGGTCTGATTTGCCGAAGGGAGGGCGAGGGAGAGCCTTATATCCATTCCGGAAAGGGGAATAAACATGGTCAAGTATGTTTCCCCCGCGCGTCGGGAAGTTGATGTGTTGGTAATATTTTGGCAAAACCTTCTTCATGTTGGCGGTGTTGAAATCTCCGGCCACAACGAACGCCGCATCTGGCCGTGAAGTCTCGGTTTTATCAATAAACCCAAACAGCTGATCGAGTGCCGTGTTGTTGTCGGCGAGTGGCTGCGGCGGGATATACACTGCTGTTATCACAACAGATGTGAATTCCCTCGGCAGATGGAAGGCCCGACATGAGATCATGAGGTGCTCTAGCTGTGCGGAACAGTCCGATGAAATAATCTTCACATCTGAGCACCAGTTGTTGTTAGTCATTACACACACACCGCCTCCCTTACTTTTCCCCGAGTTAGCAGTCCGGTCCTGACGAAAAATAGAGAATCCGTCAGGGACAATAGCGGAGTCCGGGATAGCGGGGTTGAGCCAAGTCTCAGTGAGAATTAACACGTTACAGTTCTTAATGTCCCGTTGAAAAGCAATCCGGCTTCTGAGTTCATCTAGCTTATTTTCAATGGATTGAACATTAGCCAGAAGAATACTCGGAAGAGGTGGCCGATTCTCACGTTTTCTCAGTCTGACCAGCAACCCGGCCCGGCATCCCCGCTTTGTCTTCTTCTTGCGTCTCTCAGGTAGAACAGCAACAGGTAGCCATGGCAAATCTCCATTGTTTGTCGGAGGGTTAATATTGTCCACGAAGTTTCGCAATTGGAAAAGTTCCTCTCTGCTATATTGTATGGCAGAGTAGGTGCGGTCGGCTAGCATGTTGCGAACCATGTTAAAAGTAAAACGGCAAAAGTAAAAGAAATATGTACAAAATACGAAAATGGGCAAAGTTGGAGAGGAGCACAAAGACGATGCGGCCATCTTCACCGGCGCATCACACATAGTGTGTTTTTTAGTGCATGTAAAAACTGTGCAATATATACCTAGCTGCTAAATGCTCAGAACTGTTACAGGGTGTGTATTTTTGTAAAATGTGTAACTTTTTTATTATAATTTCTTTAAAAAAAAAATCTTTAGTACTTTTTGTATGCACGCTTAGGTAACATTAAGCTGTCTTTGGTTCTTTTCTGCTGTAACAATGTCAATTTCCCCTCTGTGGGACTGATAAAGGTATTCTGATTCTGATGCAAAGGCTTTAATCCCAAAGTTCCCTCCAGAGCGAGTTTCTCATTTATAAACCTGAAAATGAGCATTATATTTGTTTGCCTCACTAGTAACAGATATTCACTACCAACAATTGTAGAAATTGTGCACGGGGAGGCGTGTGGTGCAGTGGGTTGTGCGTTGGTGTTCAGATCAGGGGGTCACAGGTTCAAACCCCACTGCAGTCAGCATATCGTTGTGTCCCCGACACTTCACCCCAAATTGCTCCTGTGGGGATTGTCCACAGTATTGAGTATGTAAGTCGCTTTGGATAAAAGCGTCTAACAAGTAACATGTAATGTAATGTAATGTACATGACAATAAATCCTTTGAAATCATAAATCTTGATATGTCTCTCTCAGGCGAACTGGTGTACCAGGCGGCGTCTCCTGATGAGGGCGCCCTGGTGACGGCAGCCAGGAACTTCGGCTTCGTGTTTCTGTCCCGTACGCAGGACACCATCACCATCAGGGAGATGGATCAGGAGACCACCTACGAGATGTTGGCGCTGCTCGACTTCAACTCCGACCGCAAGCGCATGTCTATCATCTGTAAGTGCACACACACATGCTACCTCACAAACAAACACATGTTATTCTAGGTTATGTTACAGTACAGTAGCTATTATAGCAGACATAACTAGAAGTGCACTCCAAAGTCCAAATCTCCCAATGTAAACATTGAGCATATAAACATTTTATTTTCACCCAAGTGCTATCTTGGCCGATGCTAAACATTACCACCAAGTTACATAAAAACTAGGGCCAGTTTTCTTTTTTTCTATAACTCCCAAAAACTGAAAAACATAACATCCGGTGGAGTATAAGTAGTGACATGCCAGCTGCTGAAAACCTGCTGGGTACCATTTTGACCAAATTGTAATATGTACGACAAGTTAGGGAGATGAATGTCATAACACATTTCCGAGTTTTATGACTAATTCCTGCACCACTCTCTTCCTAGCCAAAGCTAAAGACTCAAACATTGACTCTGTCCACCTCTGATCCTCTGCCTCTCTGTCTCCTCTCTCTCTCAGTGAAGTTTCCTGATGGTCGTATCCGCCTCTACTGCAAAGGAGCTGACACCGTAATCTACGAGCGACTTTCCCCTCAGTCCAAACACAAAGAAACGACCCAGTCTGATCTGGATGTGAGTTTGCTTTCTTCTCATTCGCACGGTTACATTCCTCCATGAAGCATGTGTGCAGCTGTTTCTGTGGAAGAATCCCTGATTTCTGATTTCTGATTGTGTCGTTTGTGCTTCAGATCTTTGCCAACGCCACCCTGCGGACGCTGTGCTTGTCTTACAAAGACATCAGCACGGCAGATTACGAAGCCTGGTCCAGGAGACACAAAGAGGCGCAGGTCTCCATGTCGGACAGAGACGCCGCCCTGGACATCGTGTACGAGCAGATCGAGAGCAACCTGATGGTGAGTGGAAAACAACAATAAAACTAGTTGCGATCATTTTTGACTTGTATTGCAATGTGATTCACCTAATTGGAAAATTGTAAAAAAAAAATCTTCATAATTCTCATTATCATTGAAGAATATATTTTTTTATTTAACCTTTTTTTTTCAGGATTTGTCCCAAACAATTATCTTTTTATTTTAATTTGTAAGACATACAGAAATCTATTGTATATACCTACTGTTTATTAAGCCTACAATGAAAAAATCCAAGTGAAAGATAGCTTGAAGCGTTCCTCTTTTTACTGAAAGTCTCGTGTTGTTTTTAGAAAATCTGTAAAACTAAAAAAAACATTCTCAGCCATATCTAACCAGCCGTGTTTGTTCCTCTGTGAAGCTAATTGGTGCGACAGCTATCGAGGACAAACTGCAGGATGGAGTCCCAGAGACCATCGCCAAACTGGCCAAAGCCGACATCAAGATCTGGGTCCTGACTGGAGATAAGAAAGGTACCATCAGCTCTACAGAGAGGTGTCAAACTCTCCTAATGCAGATCAGAACGTCCTTCAGATGAATCAGCTACAACTGAAGTGCCATGAGTTCTCCTCTTAGTGTAATGTGTTTTATATTTCTCCATAGAAACGGCAGAGAATATTGGATATTCTTGTTCCCTTCTGACAGACAACATGCAGATCCACTACGGAGAAGACGTCAAGTGAGTAGAAATGTCAATGCTGCAAAAAATTATATAATTTATAGTCAACTAGTGTTTATGTTAGACAACAGAAGAAGTCATTTGTTTTTGATGTCTAAAATAATTTTAAAAGAATTCTTTAAGCTTCTCAGCTTAAAATGTATGATCTCAGTCTGCCTTGTTGACTTGTGTAACAGTTTGTCTGTTGTTTCCGTGTCTGCAGTGAGAAGCTGAGTATCCGTCAGGACAACAGGAGGAACGAGCTTCCAACTTCCCGTCGAGGGAAAAAGAAACCAGCCGAACCGTTCTTCACCCAGCCGGGGAAAAACGCTCTCGTCATCACCGGAGGATGGCTGGTGAGTTCAAATCAAGTTAACACTCATTTAAAAGCTATTCATTTGAATAGAATGTAACAAGTGTATATGTGAAATGTTATCCGACATCATAATATCCCACCACTCCACATGATGGACAGTTCTGATTTGATTCAGTTTTGGTTTTTTTCCAAAATCTTTTTATTGTTTTTTTTGCAGACATGGCAATTTCCCTACCCCATTACGTCATGGTCACAGAAAAAATAAAATAATACATGAAATAATAAATACAATAAAATAAATAACTTGCATCACAAAGTCACAGGGAACAGGAATACAACAACATTCACATTGAGTAGAATAATAAATAACAAAAAAAAAAAAAAAATTCTGTTTTTATTTCTCAGAACGAAATTCTGTACGAAAAGAAGAAGAAACGCCGTCGCCTGCGTCTGCGGCGTCTGGGAAGGAAACCGCCTCCCACCAACCCTACTGACGGAGAGCCAATGGACGACTTGGAAAAAGAAATGAGACAGGTACAGTATAACTCAATAGATGAATGGATTAAAGTATAGATACATGTTAAGTATAATGACACAAGAGACGTACATCCTCTCATTTTATGGGAAGGAGCAAAGGCTGAAATAATATCCTATGCCTCGTATAGGGAAAAAACTAAATGAAAAAGCAAGGAAATCAGTCGAAATGAATGTAATGGAGGAAACGACTGAGAATTAGAAACCAAATGCATATCTTTGAGGAAAAATGGGTCAAGTATAGAACAATATAATTAATATTTACCTGAGTATTAACAGTGTATCCATTCTTTTATTTGTAATATTATTTTATTATTTATTTTCCTACTTGTCATCTGTTATGTAGGTAATCTATGTACCTAGATGTGTTTATATTGTTATGTATTTTCTTAAAATGCAAAAAATAAAATAGTATAGATAGGCCAGCGCACCATCGATGGTTGACATGATAACGAACATGGTGGCGTGTCTCCGCAGATCGACTTTGTGGACATGGCCTGTGAGTGCGAGGCGGTCATCTGCTGCCGCGTCACTCCCAAGCAGAAGGGTAACGTGGTGAGTTTGGTGAAGAAGTACAAGAAAGCCGTGACGCTGTCCATCGGAGACGGAGCCAACGACGTCAACATGATCAAGAGTAAGGGCACGAATGAACTCTGCTCAGGTTTATTAAGAAAGGGATTGTGTGAAGTTGGGTTGTATGTTGCCTGCATGCCATCAATTTGGAGATCCGTACTGCAGTGCCAGATTAGAAGCTAAGCAATGTATCCCTGTTGACAAGCAATAGCATAACATATTTCAACCACTTTATCAAAGGTAAGGTGTACGCTATTTTTAGAATTAGTTCTTGCTCTTGTTGTCCTTTTCAAATGAGAACTGAAGCCGTTATTTAATCTTATTTAATCTAACAGAAGTTGCACAACTGTCCATATGCCCTTAGCTTAGCGGTGGTGACGTGAAGTCATGCAACCTTGATGTAGTCTGTTTATAGCGCTTTTTACTCCTGGAGATTGCATTTACACATAAAGTGGTGTTAATCTTTGGTGTTTATCCTGCCGAACGAAACCTGTAAGTATCATAAACATGTTTGCCACAGATCTTATATCCGCAATATTCCGAAATCTAGTGGAAAATCTCATGGCTTTTGTCACCCCCTTGTGATTGCTAACTTCCTGGAAGACTCTAACACAAAACAAACTAACTGATCGAGGCAATGGTAGACCTGCTAGTGTGATAGCTTTAAAGAGGGTATAGATGGCTGCTTCAGTGGTTTTCATTAAAGGGCTGACTGTAGGTAACACTGATTATGGTACCAGTTATTAGTTCAGTTATTCTGCTCCAAATATCTGGAACAAACTCCCAGAAACCTGCAGGTCCGCTGCAACTCTGACTACTTTTAAATCCAGGCTGAAGACTTTTCTTTTTGCCGCTGCTTTTAATTGAACTATTCACATCTTACACTGCACTGTAACTTTTATTCATGTATTTTGTCTTTTAATGTTTATTTTATTATCTTTGCTTTTTAAATGCCATTTTCTTAATGTCTTTCATTTTAAAGCACTCTGAATTGCCTTGTGCTGAAAGGTGCTATATAAATAAACTTGCCTTGCCTTACCAAACCCATTTTAAACATCCAAACTATCCCAAACTCCAGTGCCTCTCCCCTAACCCCCCCCCCCTTCTCTGTCCCTCCAGCTGCAGACATCGGTGTGGGTATCAGCGGTCAGGAGGGGATGCAGGCCGTCATGTCCAGCGACTACGCCTTCGCTCAGTTCCGTTATCTGGAGCGCCTCCTGCTGGTGCACGGGCGCTGGTCCTACATCCGAATGTGCAAGTTCCTGCGTTACTTCTTCTTCAAGAACTTCGCCTTCACACTGGTTCACTTCTGGTACTCCTTCTTCAACGGATACTCTGCAATGGTCAGCAGCACGAAGTTATTTTCATTATCAAGTGCATTTGACGCCGCAATTTAATAGCATATTTTAATTTTGAAAACTTATCCTGGTGGGAATAAGTGGACTTACTTTGACACAATTCTAATTAACTTTGGTCAGCACATTTAATGGTAACCTGGAGTGGTTGTCATAATAACATTATTCTGATCCTTGTTTCCCTTTCTGCAGGTCACTTATGAAGACTGGTTCATCACTCTCTACAATCTCTGTTACAGCAGCTTACCTGTTCTACTAGTTGGACTTCTTGACCAGGTAAACAGGCTTTGATGTAGAGAACAACAATGGTACAGAAAGAGGATATTGTCCGGTAGATTATTGGTTTAGCTGTTTTTGTTCAAAGTAATTGATACAAGCTGATTTTAAAGATGTAATACTCGCTGAAATGCACGTAGACGTGTTTGTTTTTTGCTAACTAACTCTGCTTCTTTCTCTTCTCGCTGCAGGACGTTAACGACAAAATTAGCCTGAAATTCCCACAACTCTATTTACCCGGACAGCTGGGGACGTTGTTCAACTACAAGAACTTCTTCATCAGCTTGTTCCACGGTATCTTTGTCTCGCTCATCATCTTCTTCATCCCCTACGGAGCCTTCCTTCATACCATGGGGCAGGACGGAGAAGCCCCCTCCGACTACCAGTCCTTCGCCGTCGTCACCGCCTCCTCGCTCATTTTTGTCGTCAACCTGCAGGTTAGTCGTGTTCAGTTTTATGCGTTGACGGTTAAAAACTAGGAAGACTTTGTATTAAACACAAACTTATCTTAATGACTCTGTGAAGAAATGATGTGAAGCAGATGTGCATGTAATGAGTGTATTTAAAATGAATGACCTTTGTCCTCTGCTTCCCCTCTCATGTGTCAGATCTCCTTGGAGACTTCCTATTGGACCTTTGTTAACTGCTTTGCCGTTTTGGGCAGTATAGCTATTTACTTTGGCATCATGTTCGACATCCACAGTGCTGGGATCCACGTCATCTTCCCCGCACCGTTCACCTTCACTGGTCAGTCACAAACAAAACCACCCACTGTGACACATTTAGTATGGTCTCTACTCCAAAACACTCTGAAACTGCAAGTATAAGAAGTGGATGTTAGCAGAGTAGTAGCTAACTGTGTATATGTATATTTTGTGTTTGTAGGTGCGGCGTCAAATGCTCTGCGGCAGCCCTACCTGTGGTTAACCATCATCCTGACTGTGGGCATCAGCCTGCTGCCTGTGATCTGCATCCAGTTCCTCCATAAAACCATCTGGCCCTCGATAGGAGATAAGGTGAGACCTCCATGACTCACCCTGATGCTTGGCCTGTCTTAAAGGTCACCTATTATGCAAAATCCACTTGTTCATGTCTTTTATACATAACCATGTGTCCCCCCTCTGTGAAAAGAGATTCTGAAAGTTTCAGGAAAAAAGATTCTCTCACTTTTTGTCCTGATCCATTAATATAAAAACTAGGGCTGTCAAGTTAACGCGTTAATAACGCGTTAACGCAAAAAAAAATTAACGCCACTAATTATTTTAACGCGATTAACGCATGTGTATTTTTTGTCCTCGGCCGCCGTAGTTTCAGAGCGCATCGAGTGTAAAATACCATCGACAAGCTGATGCTGACAGCCCCGCTCCTGCTGCCCTCTTGTGGCAGACCACACTTCCACGCTCACTGGCAGGCCCGGGAGGACCGGGAGGGAGTGTGTATGTGTGGCGCGACTCGCGCGAGCGAGGCACACCTTACGTGTTGTTAGCATCTGGTGCTAGCTAGCTGCGCTAACGGATATAAGGAGCTGTTTCAATGACATTTCGCCGACAACTGCGCCGAGCACTTGACTTTATGCAGGTAGCCAGACAGTGGGACATTGTACGAAAAGTCAGCACACTCAGCACGGATAGTGCGCGTAACATGATTGCAGCGTCCAGGCAGCTCCCATTCGAGCATATATGCCTTGAGCTGCACATAGCTCCAACGATCCATCAGTGTCCACACACACACACACACACACACACACACACACACAGTATTATTGTATGAGAGAGGTTCCAGGTTGAATTGAGGCGAATATTTGTAATGTTCAGAGGTTGTTGTTGTGTTTAATATTCATGAGAATATTTGTCATTGTTCAAATGATAATAAACAAACATATAAAGCATATTTGTCCACTCATATGTTGATAAGAGTATTAAAAACTTGAAAGATATCCCTCTAAGGTACATTTAGAACAGATAAAAAATGTGCGATTAATTTGCGATTAATCGCGATTAACTATGGACAATCATGCGATTAATCGCGATTAAATATTTTAATCGACTGACAGCCCTAATAAAAACCTGTCTGAAAATGAGCTGATCAGATGTTGGCCACTTTATGATGTCATAACGATTTTTTGGCTTGTGTAACCATTAGCCAATCACCAACCAAGGTAAAATTAGGTAATCTTGTAGTTTCTCCGATGTTGACTGCTTATTTCTCATCACCCCTTAGATCCAGAGAAACAGGAAGAAGTACGAGATGGAGCTCCAACAGGATGAGAGGAAAAAGCCGTCTGCCTTCCAGCGTGGCCGCGGTTCCCGCCGCTCGGCCTACGCCTTCTCTCACTCCCGGGGCTACGCCGACCTCATCTCGTCCGGGCGGAGCATCCGACGCCCTGCGACCCGCCGCAACCCCCAGGAGAGCATCAGGGAGGTTCCTCAGAGAGAGGCGGAGAACATCTGAGCCGACAGACGTCAAAGTTATAGCCAGGTGGATTGTAAATATTTAAGAAAGTTAGTGGATCGCTTGGTTTGTCTTCCGTTTTTATCTGTTGAGTCGCTGCTGATATGGTCAACTTCTGCACAGAAATCTGTTGGAGTTTAAAGGGCCATTTTCTTTCTTCTGGGTTATTTAAGTCTCTTAGAGGGAGAAAAGAAAAGTCCTCAATCAAGTTAAATGAAGCTTTACTGAATGTGTCTTTGCTCCAGTGTGTGACTCCACTGCCTCTCGTTCTTCCTGTGCACAGACTCTCTTTGTTGAAAGACAAATGAAGGTCACCAAAGAGACTGCAGCCGTTTAACTTTATCTAGCGTGACTGACAATGTTGTTTAACTCAGGATTTTAAAATGAATAGCCTTATTTTTAGTCAGTTTGTCTGCTCACCAATACTCTGACTGGATGTGGAGCCGTAGCTTTATCTAATGATACTTTTTTGATATTAACATTTTTAGCCTGATCCCTGCGCACTTGATATGTAAGGGTTTTATTCAAATTTGAAATGTATGTTCCAGTCAATTTGTCCGTTAGCTTCATGAAATTACACCGTCTATAAGTTTGGTTTTATTATCATCCGTTGGGATGCACATCCAAAGATTGTCCTTCATAAAGAAAGGACTACAGCTAAACATGTCAAGGTATCCGTTTTTTAATGTTTTATTATAAATAATGATGGGATATAAATGTGAAAGACTATGCAGGGTGGTTGGATGTGATAAAGTGTGTCTTAATTTAAAAAACTAAATTGTAAATAGTGATCTGTTCTCCTGCTGCATCAAATATCCCTTATATACATATATTTTCGTCACTAAATTTAGGAAAATTCAACTTTGTTTCAGTCTTAAAACCGTATAAACGCCTCTTCCAGACCGGAATCCTGTTCATCTTTTTCTATACCTCAACTTTACCTCAACATGCTCTGTAGGGAAACTGCATGGGGCTGCAACGTGTCTTCCTTTAAACGGCAGTCTTTGCAGAATAACTTCAAGATTTAGCTATCTTCTTTTTAACATGTCTCAGTTTGTTCATTTATTTGTTCTCTACTACGTTGAACTCAAGTCACACATTTATAAGGTGGTCAAAAGATGAGGATTTCGGTGTCTCACTGGTTGTTTACAACAAACCCGAAGAAGATTTTAGTTTTTTGCAGTCCCATAAACAATTTTAGTATATTTGCTTAACCGTGCTAAGCCAAAACTGCTACATTCCTTCTCTGACTGTTACCGTTTCCCTTCATGCGAGTGTTACTGTGTGCCGAAATATGTAGGAGGTCTTTTTATTTCTGAATGAATGGAGGCTGGTGACTGAACCAGCAACAGTTTGGTCTTTCATATGATGGTATTTTATCATGTGGTTGTAAATAAAAGCCAAGGGCACATTTAACAATCTGAGTTCTTTCTTAATCTGTGTTTATTTTATTGTGTTGCCTCTTTTATGTATCAATGTGGTGATTTATAAAAGTCAATCTCCATATTCCACGTACTAAACTCAACAGCAGTACCAAACGTCTTTACAGACTGGTGCAAAGGAGAGATTTTTATTATAATAAAGTTATTACTAGTTTAGTTAAATTACCTTCTGAGTTACTTTTTACTACAAAAAAAACGATCAACACTAGAGAAAGGTAGAAAGAAATAGTTTGTGCATTTATTTTCTATAGTTTTTCCTAGTCTAGTAAAAGCTGAAACATGAAGCTTGAATAAACAAAACGTACATAAATGCCTGTGAATAATACAAATACAAATGTATGAGTAATCGTAAACAATAATAAAAACTGGATATATCAAAATGAATGTGAGCTATACAAAATTACTTACAATGAATAGTAGCTCTATAGTAGGGGCAGAACAGTAGGCCATAGAAGGCTGACCCTTTCCTAAAAATGTTTTGGATCACCATGCACTGCATACTATTACAATTAAAATAGTAAAAAGCAGAGGTAGGGAAAGTACTCGAGTCTTGTACTTAAATCCAAGTAGAAATACCAGAGTGTAGGAATACTCTGTTTCAGTAAAAGTCCTGCATTCAAAATGTTACTCAAGTAAAAGTAGAAAAGTATTATCATCAAAATATAGTTAAAGTAGCAAAAGTAAAAGTAGTTGTGCAGATTGGTCCATTTCAGAATAATATATATATGTTTTATAATGATTGATCATTAAAGTGTTCTCAAAGCTGGTAAAGGTGCAGCTAGTTTGAATGACTTTGTATACTGCAGGGTATAAAGGTATTAAATACATGTCGTGGAGTAAAAGTACAATATTTACATCCGAATTTTAGTTTGTTGTAGAAATACAAAGTAGCAAAAATGTAAAATACTCAAGTAAAGCACAAGTATCTCAACATTGTACTTTACTTGAGCAAATCTACCTACTTACTGTACACCAGTGGTACAGCTGTATCTCGATTGGTTAAGAAATAACTGCGGATGTCTCTGTGATAATCAGTGCAATACCCTGGTGGTAACGTGTGCAACACCCGTCTAATTTCCAGTAGCCAATCACATCCCGATCCGGGCGCAAAGCATTATCTCAGTAAACAAACCGCCAAGTAAACGGCAAGTGCGACCGTTGGATGTGCAGGTAGCTAGTAAACTGGAATAAACGGTATCGTATAAAATGAATGTAGGCCTACGGATATTTCTAAAGGCAAACCAGCTCCTGTAACACCGAAGCAGCAGCTAGTGCCTCTGCTAGCATCGACTCACCCTACATTTGAAGTTCAGAGCCGGGAGCCGACCATGACGGTACCGACACCAGTTAGCTTGCTGCTAGCACCGGGAATCCGACCCTCTTCAGTCCAACTGCCACTGACATGGGAGAAATGGAAGCTGTTTTGACTCGAAACAGCGATGCTCAAAGAAGTTATTGATGCCTATAGGTGCGTTCACACCGGAGTACTTTGGTGTACTTTTCCCACAATAGTTCATCAGAACTACGATATATTTGCGTTCACACCAAAAAGCCCCAGGAACTAAAGTAGCTCAAATGAGTTCATCCGACCCGCTTTTCAGTCCCTGCTACAGAGCAGGGTCTGTTGTGGGAGAAAATAGTTCGTACGTCTGATTGGCTGTGCGGAATGCAAACCACGCCCGTTTGACTCAGAATTTTTTTTTGGAAGCGGCCATTGTATTTGCTCGTTTACCCGAAGAGATTACTTTTGTGAAAGCAGTTATTATAGCAACACTAAATAAATCATCGGAGCGGTGGAATTGATGAGGATGTCTCTGCGCTTCTGGCGATTTACTCGGAGGACGCGAAGTGCGGCATTCAGAAGCTTCTACTGCATGCAGTTTCAGTGGATCAGCAAAGTTAGCAGACCTGGCAAAGTCATGTCGTGACGACTACGAAGGTAAAATAAAATACATGCACTGCACTGTTTTAATCTGCACAATACTGGTCTTAGATGTACTTTTATTTGCTCAGTAGATCGAGCTAGCCATGCTAGAACTTGCTAACGTTAGGTCCAAGCTGGCTAACAACATCTAGCTAGCTAGCTATTCTCAGCCGTGCCCGCTATGAACACGTATTGACTTGTGAATAAGTGTGCAATGTTCTGTAATTTGCTTCACTAACTCATGGCACTAATCGTGTGTTTCAGGCGAGGTGTTTCTCTCAGGATTAGAAACTAGTTTTCCCCTCCGGGATAAAACGATAATATAACGTTAGCAATTAGCATGCTAGCTGGACATAATGCTACCTCTGTGGCTAATGCATAGAGGTAAACAATAGATTGTAGTTGCTATAATTTCAAGTAATTTGCAACATTCATTCTACATGTTAATGGTAAAAGCTTAAACAGTTGATTACCTGCATGCCACAAAGACTGATGTTCTAATATTTTTGCACATTGAAGTAGAAATGTAATTGAAATTCTATTTACTGCCTAAACATTGTTCCTTGTATTATCCTAAATAGTTTGACCTTGTTTCCTCAGAAGGCTTCTCAGACTACATGGAGGATCCCTCAGAGAAACACAGTTTCCACGTTCAGTTCCCCCCCGCTGAAAGTAGGCAGCTCCACACCCTGTGCCCGGTCAGCGGACACCATCAGGACTACCATCCTGACCGCTGCTGCCATACTGCAGCAAACAGGAGGGAACGGAGGTGAAAACACACTTTATACATTTAGATATGTGGAGCACAAAGAAAAGCATTGCTAAAAAACATTTAGCAGCTAAACTGTGGATAACAAGTAAACCACATTGGTTTGTTATTCAATATTCAAAAGCTTTTTGAATCATTACATGTCACTTGTTAGACGCTTTTATCCAAAGCTTACATACTCAATACTGTGGGCAATCCCCACAGGAGCACTTTGGGGTGAAGTGTCTCAGGGACACAACGACATGCTGACTGCAGTGGGGTTTGAACCTGTGCTCCCCTGATCCGAACACCAATGCACTTATCCACTGCGCAACACGCCTCCCTATCATGTCCTGAGAGCCCTCCATCCCCCAATTGCTAGTGCCTTCACAGATTTGGACAATGTTGTCTCGTTGTTGCGATTAAACTGATCTTGTATCTTGCATATTTCACCTTAGGAAAGTGGGCACGCGATGACAGCTTCCTTGACACCATCATGGCGATGGACCGCTGTGCCATGGTCAGCAAGGAGAATGAGGACCTACGTGCCAAGGAGATGCACGACGAACGGCTGCTGCATTCACACAAGGCCCAGGAATCGAGGTGGAGCAACAAAATACCTTTCAGGCTGGGCTTCTGGCAGTGCTAAGCGAGCTGATTAAATCCAACAGGCCTTCAATACAAAAATTAAGAAAAACTTGTCGTTGATAAACTGTACAATGACTTGTTGGGAGGCGTGTGGTGCAGTGGTCTGGTGCGTTGGTGTTCGGATCAGGGGAGCACAGGTTCAAACCCCACTGCAGTCAGGATGTCGTTGTGTCCCTGGGCAAGACACTTCACCCCAAATTGCCTACACCTGTGACAGTTAATTTTGTATTATTATGATTATATATATATGCCACTGTTATTAATACTGACACTTCACTTTGCACTAAGGTGTGTCTGCTGCTGAGCCTACTTATTGTTATTATATATATATATATATATATATATATATATATATATATATATTGCCACTGTTATTATATTGTTTTGATACTACTGACACTTATTGATCTGCTGCTGATAAATAAAAGAGAACCTACATGCACGGCACTAGCATCATGACTGTCTTTGTTTAAACCAGCAGCAGTGCAGCGGTACACAGACTAACCTGTGTGTGTGTAACGTAGTTCTTCAGGTGTGCATGCTTAACATGTATGTTAACATGTATGTATACAAAAGTTTTGAAAGAGCTTTCAACCTCATCCCATTGTCTTTAACACACATTTAACATAATATACTCATTAATATACAAATATACAGTATGCGTACTGTTTTGATACTGACATTTAATCTTTGCACTAAGGTGTGTCTGCACTATTGTAATTGTATAAGAGAACCAAATGCACTGTACAAAAGATCAGCTTTATTGTCAATTTACAATTTCCATGCTGTTCAGATGCCTCTCCACAACGTTGCTTCCAGGCGAATACAGAGGAGTTGAAAAGAGCCCTTGGACATTCGGAAATCTTCGATCCACTGCACATGTTGGCACCACCTCCCACCAGGCCGACGTTCTATTGTTCACCCAGAGTTCCGTAGTATTCGCATATCTGGAACACATACAAAGACACAAATTAGCCCTACATAACTCCATAAATCCTACATTAGATAGTATTAATGTGATTTAATGAACGTACCATTGCTGTTCTTTGGGCGTGATAACGGCCATCATCCTCGGCTGTACAACGGCGAAACATGTCCATCGCGTGTGATTTCGTCGTCTAATCCTTTTGTTAAGGCTTCTTAACCGCCTTCGCCTCCGACTCAGCATGTCTATTGCATTTGAATGGTCTATTTGTATTTGTGGCTGAGTTATTGGCTTAAATAACTCCGTTACGGTGTCTGAGGTCGGAAGGTAAACAGAAGCATACAGCGGAAGCGGAATTTTTTTTTCTTCTTCTCTCGGTTTTTTGGCGAATTGCAACTTTAAGGTGCATACCGCCACCTACTGTACTCGCCGTGAAGTTGTTTGCGGCCTGCCAGGAAAACCAAAGCAGAAGAAGAAGAAGTGACGTCAGCGGCTCATTTGCCTAATCCACCCCCAGGAACTCATTTTGGTGTGAACGCGATCTGCTTTAGTTCGTCAGAACTAAAAGAACTCTCATGAACTAAAGTTCTCATGAACTACTGTGGGAAAAGTACTTGGTGTGAACGCGCCTTATGATGCCATGCCACAGAAGCTTCATCAAGGTAAGACAATTAGTTATTTATTCCCTGACACATATTGACATGGACACTTTGCACCAACATCTTTTATGGAGACTG